GGAAATATTAGACAAAGAATATTTTATCATAAACATTGTGTTCCTTAGGTCACAGTGTTGAAATACTGCAATAAGCAGAAATGTTTGTATTAAGATTGCAAATTACAAATGCTTGACTTCAGAGATGTGATTGCATATTGGTACTGAAAGAATCATCATTATATGGTCTTTAATACTTCTTGCAAAATTCCCTCATGTTGTGCTAATGTAAGATTTAGGGGGGTTTGCTGAGTTTTTTTTTTGTTCTAGTGAAATTACACAGCTTTTATACATTGCAGCTGTTCTTCATTGCATAGCTAATGTCTCCATCTTTTCAGAGAAACTTTTGGTTTCTTTGCAGGAATTACTGTTACTAGTTGTAGACCTTTAATCTGTAAAGTCTAAAATAATGGTGTTTAATTTTTAAATTTTATATCTCTGTGCTGAAAAGCGTTAGACTTGGCTGAAAACATGTATTTAGAGTTCCTGTGTGGCATGCTGTCTGGTGCTTTTTGTTCTGTCCAATGCCTCAAATCTCTAACAAATGGACTTCCGACTTCTGAAACAGTCTTTCAGTATTTGTTGGATTATTTCTGATTACAATTGCTGTCTCCAAAAATCAGGCCAGGAAGTTGCCAGCAGTGTTCCAAAGAGCAGGGTATTGAATCAGGACCTTTTTTTTTTTTAACTGTCTTTCTTTTGCTTTGCAGTGTGAATGGTAATTCTTGTTCTGCTTTAGTAGTTAAATGACCATCAAATTCTGAATCTTTAGCATTCACACTTGAATTTTTAATAACAAAGTTTGGTTCATTGTCCTTGATCTCCACCCTCCACCACTCTTTTCCAGAATCCTTTTTGTGACTTACTCTCTGTTCTAGAAGTCATTCTACTGTAATTTTTTGCATAATATATATAATTCAGAAAGCCATTTTGTAATAATTCTGGTTGAAAAAAGTACATTGGTGTGGCAAAGTGCAAGTACTCAGCACTTAGTCACCTGATAATTTTCCCTTGGTAAACAGGTGTTTATCAAGAAAGTTTTCCTGTCAACCACATTAACCATTTTCAGATGAGTTTTAGCTTTTTTTTTTTTCGTCTTAAGTTGCCAGGTGCCTTAAGAGATTTTCAGTTTGGTCCTAAATAAAAAATGTTAGAATTAAGTGTTTAAATTTTTATTATACTTTTAGATATTGAAATATAATTTGATTTAAATTATTGTAAATAAGAATTGAACTGCTCAAGAGCCCTAAAAATGCCTAGGTTTTGTGTTGTTTTATTTTGCTTATTTATGTTTTGTTTTCCCTAAATGCAATCTCATGTACTTGGTGTTCTTTTATCTTGAGAAATATCCTGCAGGGGTCAGCATTTACCATGTTATTTTTACTTTCATCAAAATACCATTTAAAGGTGGGTGACTTTTCTATTGAGACATTAAATATTCTGAGAGAAGAATGGTAAATATAAATTATGTAAAATTGCCTAATACTTGAGAAATATGATTGCATAGTTGGAATGCTACGCCCTCTTACTTAGTGTTGAGGGAGATTTTAAAACATTCTTCACATTCTTAATTTGAAATTACCAAGGTAGTACAGCTTTAGTGACCAGGAGTGTTTGCTTTTGTTTCCTCTACTGAACTGTAACCTTTTCATGCTTAGCTTTGTTTCATTCATCTACATATTCTTTGGCTTTGTTTTTTAGTATTACCCTATAGAAGAAGTATTGGCTGCTGAATATTTGCTTGAAGAATTCAGGCCTGATTTAATAGAGATGGTGCTGGATAAATTGAGACCAGAAAATGTTCGGTGAGTTAAACTGTATTTTACAAACATCATAAGAGAGCAGGTGAACTAATGGAAACACAAAATCTTAGGTGTCTCTTGCAGCTCTAAAGTAAATGTGATTGAAAAATCTTCACTATGTTTCTTTGTATGAGAAGGTCTTAGATATATGCTAATTTATTTTCAAAGATTGATGTATTTCAAATAATTACTAGATAAAGTCAGATAAACTTAAATTATGAACTATATTTGCAAATGTCATGGGGTTCTGGTGTTTCTGGGGATATGCAAGTAATGATACAATAAATGGAGTTGCCTATATCAGCAAGAGTAGTTGCCATAGTAATTAATGCCCTTTAAAGAAGGGTCTATATCTTCGTGTGTAGGTGTGCCTCTGTGTGTAATGTGTGTGGGATACTTCAGCTGAAGCTTGACTGTGTCAAAAGATCATCTTTTGAACAAACAATACTTTAATGAAAATCTACAGTTCTCTTTCCCAAAGTATTTAATACTTTTCTATTTTGAATGTATTTTCATGTTACTCTACCACCCAGGTTCTTGAAAATTTGATACCTCTTAACATATAAACACTGTTTTTAGTAATTAGCATAGAGAACGTGTAATTACTTGCTCTCTGTAGAAGGCTTAACCAAATTCCACATGAATGTGAACTTTGAACTAGTTTTAGAATTGCTTACAAGCAATAGGTAAACCTGAGCTGATGCTGATCTAGTAAAGAAGCTGCAGATGTTAATGAGATCTGATGTTTATTATAGCTTCACAAAGCTTTGAAGCATAGCTTTTAACATTGCAAGAAAATAGTCAATATTATCTGATTCATAATATAAGTTGGGTCTTTGTTACTACCCAGAGAACTTCCAAAGCATCTTCTTACTTAAACACTGAAAAATTGCTGGAGGAAATTAGCACAGGTACATACGTTGATAGATTCTTTAGTTTGTCAGATGCTGTTGCATGCTACAGACCAATCACCACCTTTCTGTGTTATTCCTGTTGCTGGCTGTGCCAGTCTTTTGACATCCTTTCCAGCTGTCAGTACTTCAGCATAAGACAGCCATAATTAACCTAGTTCAAGTTATTAGTGTGAGAAAGGAGAGTGTAGAGAACACCAGTAGAGGGAGAAAATTCAAGTCAGTGGAATGTGGCCAGAAGCATAAGAATAGTGGCAATGGTGTTTAGAAGAATGTGGTGTGTTTTTTTCAGTGGCACAGCAAACACCTGTTTCACAATGTTCTTTTGCTGTAGGTATTTTAGGCCCATGTCTGCACTTTGCAGTTCTGCATTCCTCTTTGTCCATTCCTGAAGTAAGGGGGGGGTCGGATAAGTAAAGCTCAAGATGAGCAAGAATCTAATTAGACAGAAGAAGTAATTCTAAAAAGATACAGAATTTAGGTGTAACATGCTTGAAACATAGTAAGCAAAGAAGATAACAGCTTACTATGGTATATATCTTCCTACAGTAGTTTTGTAGGGTTACATGAGTCTTCTCCCTTTTGACAAAGTGACTTCTGGTAAATGGACATTTTCTCCACACTTGGTAATTGTGGATTAATTTTTTGAAAAACTAGATTTTTTTTCAAGATGGAGCATATGTAGAAGAAATACGAACTGAAGATGAACTTTAGTATGTTAAGCAGCTAATAATAGTTTGATCCTTCAGGTAGTGGAGATAGGTGTTTCAGAATTGGTCATTGATCAGTAACTTCTGTGGGTCTCTGTAATTGTGAACTTCAAATGTCATGTGTCTCACCTTGCTTTCTTCCAACTGGTGCTTTTTGGTGCTGTATGTTATGTTTAATCTTCTTCAGGACTAATCATGTTGTCTCTTCACTTTACTTGACTTAAGAAATAGATGTCATTTAATAGATGAAGAAATGTGTCATTTTAAACTTTTGTATAAAAAAGGTGCAAAAAATATTGGGAGAAAAAAGGACTTTCAGAACCAGAATAAACCTGTTTTTATGGCTTCTTCAGTTAACTGTTAAAGAAATTATATACTGTCTTATCAGACTTTCCTACTTTCATGTGACTGAAAGAAAATACTAACTTGTATATAGTACTGTATTCCTTTTAGATACATTTTAAGCACTTATCCTGTGAAATTAGAAGTAGAATGAACTGAACTGCAATTTTTAAAAATCTTTTATTTAACTAAGATCATTCAAAGTATAGTAAAATATAGCAGATTTATAGTATAATTTCTTTTAAATTGCTGGCAAGATACAGTATCTTGGAAGGGGAAATTTACTTAAGTATTACTAAAACTGATTTCATGGTATCATTATGAAGATTCAAGAAAGCCACTGTAGATTTTATTTTTAGTGGGCTCTCTTAAAAGAATGAATTGAGATTACAGATGTTAATAAAAGGGTTCCCTTGTGTTACATTTTTAAAAATTACATCTGTATCTATATGAATATAATGAATTAACAATTCAGTAGCCTGCTCCCTTGTTTTGTCTTTTATTGAGCAATTTTATATGCTAAAAAAAACTCTGTGCCATCTGCTTTCAATGTATTGTTTGGTTATCCACCATTTACTGATATGTATGCTCAGGTTTACCTTTCTGTTCTCCCTTTTTGTGGAAGAATTATGTGCCACATCCTAACTTTGCCTGTTGTTTGGCATTGTTTTCCTGTTTTTATTGTTATTTTTTCTTTTTATGTCTTGCATACATTCTGTCTTGAGTTGCTTTAGTTGGCACTGATTTGAATTTTTTCTTTGTATTGTGGTTTTATTTATAATTTCTTTTTTATTCACCTATATTAAGGACCTCCTGGCACAGCTATATTGTAGTAACTGCATTGTGTCTTTTTTAAAAGTATAGTTTTTCAACTATTATTTTCTTAACAAATTTTGAGTTTAAAAATATGAAAAAAATCATTCTCACAGATGGTATGCATATAAGTATACATGTGCTTCCATTTGACTGACCCAGAACAGAAAGTATTCATATTCTTTTCCCACCTCCACACACTACTTGTTGTATTTAGTGCCTTAATTTCTCTATGAGAGAAACTTGAAAATGTAAGTATTATTTTTACTTGTTCAAACTGCATTGGGTTTTACCAGCCATCTGTGAAGATAAGGGAATAGACTTGGCATGTGTAGCAATCTTAGCTGAAAAATGTAATTTTCCTATCATTTCCAAGGCATTTTTCCCCTTCAGCATCTGCAGAATAAATACTCTTATTAAAATTTAAGAAGATAGTGACTCACCAGATTAAGCAGCTAAAGAACATTTTCCCCTGGATAGTAAGTGGGTTTTTTTTCCTCTATTGATAGCAGAAGTGCAGCACTAGTACTGTCCTAGAGGGAAGAAAAATAAAATGAAAGCCAAAAGTGTTGATAGAGAAATGTCTAACTAGTGGAATTTCACAGACTCTCAGCAGAGTTATCTCAGTGCACTTGGTGATGCTCACCCTGAAGGTAAACATGCTAGAAATGTTTCTGTTTGTTTTTAATTGCATTGGATCTCAGCATCCATTTTGAAAATCACATTTTGTTCACTTATTCCTCCCCACAAATCCTTGGCAGCAGCTTAGTTTTACTGAACATTAAGGAATAACTTGTGCTTCTGCAGTGATCAGTGCTGTACCCCAGCAGCAGCTCTGGTTTGTGAGGGGATTGGTGATTGATCTGTGAGGGCCTTTGAGTAGCATGAGTTGCCTCTCATCAGTTTTACTGATGGTTGTGAGGGACCTTATGGAGAACTGTAGAGTTTTGTTGTTTTTGTCTCAGTTGTGTTATGTATTTGAATGAGTGAAAAGTAATTTCTTCCATTGTTTGACAGTATCACAATTTGGAAGACAAAGTTTAAATTAGGTCCAAAAAAATTCAATCCTTTATAAGAATAGGTTTACTTTGATGCATTTGTTACTAATATCACAAATACTAAGTATTCTATTACTTTTCCAACTTCAGAACCTTGAGTTTCCTTATATAAATCTGGAGTATAATAGTTGATAATGTTTTGTGGAAGTACATTCATTTTAAAGCACACATTCGCTTCCCAAGTAACACTGTCCTGTGGATTTCTCACCTGTAGCTTCAATTTAGATTTCAGGAGGGTGAAAAACTGGATAGTATTTAGTAAATATGCATCACATTACAGAAACTGGTTGTTTATGAAATTGGGTACTACAGCAGTTTGCATGTACAGGAATGTATCTAGAGAAGTAAATAGCATTTATAGTTGTGTTCCATATCCATTAATGGCTCAAGCCTAAATATACTTAAACAGGTCCTGTGAAGATTACCTGATTGCCTGTCTTGATTTCCCAGTGCATTTCCACACTGTCCTAAAACATATGGATGTTCATAGTGCTGTACAGCACAACAGAGAAATGAAAAGCAAAACTAATGTTACATAATTGGTGACTTTAGAGATGGATTATAATATATTGAAATACCTGCATGGCATGGCATTTCTATCTGCTGTGCTTCTCTTCCCCTCTTTTTGTGTCCTGGTCTTCTTTCCTGTTGGTCTTAAGTTGTAATTCTTGGGCAGACAAAATGCCTTTTGATTTGTTTCTGTTGTTGTGGGTATGTTTCTGACAACTCAAAATGTCAGTAATCATTCCAGTAGTGATTTGGCATAAAGAGAAGGATCTGTTAAAGCAGAACTGCTTGAAGAATTACAATGTTGGTTTCCACAATTTTGTTTTCTATACTGAGTAGACAATTATTTTTAGCTCTTGAATTTTAGTATGCTCCTGTTGGAAATGTTTGGGTGCTTGGATTATCACTACTGCTTGAGCGTCAGTATGTTGGAGAAGGGTAGGAGGAGGAAATGTTGAATAACAGACATATTCAAACAGTGTATTCTAGCATTAAACATCTTTGTCTTGCTGCTCTAGCCATATGATTATTGGCATTTTATTAGGATAATTTTCCCACTTAGGACTCTTACTTCTTTTTCTTCTTGTTATTTATTTACTGTGCAAAAAGATCTGGTAGGTAGGTTGCTCTGAAATTCTGAGACTTTATAGTTTTTGTAGTCTCTCTGTGTTGTGATTTAACCCCAGCCAGCAGCCAAGCTCCACACAGCCACTTGCTCACCACCTGCCAGTGGGTTCAGGGAGAGAATTGCAAGGGTAAAAGCTGGGAAAAAAAAAAAGAAAAAAAAAAGAGCAAAACAGGGAATCCATGTGTTGCAGGTATTCAGCCATGTCCAGGAGAGTAGGTAGTTGTGCTTCCTTTTTTTGACCATTTCAAATTTCTTAGAAACATCTATTTGCTCTTGAAGCTAGCTACTTCCATTGATACATTGTTCAATAGAACTAAAGGAATTGTCTTGATACCTATCATGTAGGCTACTAACAAAATACTGATAAGTTTGTAATTTTCTTTATTCTGGATTTCTTTTTTGGGTGTTCAGGCAGCACCTGGATGGTGCTCTTAGTCACATGGTTTAGTTTTAGGTAGTCCTGCAAGAAGCAGGGAGTTGAATATGAGATGATCCTTATGAGCCCCTTTCAATGTGAGGTTATCTATGATTCTGTGACACTAGGACTGGAATAAAATGTCTGTAATCAGTATTTTCACATATTTGGATGTTCATACAGGTGGTATAGAAAATATAATCGCGTCATCAATTTTCTAGAAGACTGCAAGAACTGCTTTGTTTTCTAGAACAGCAAGATTCTTAAAAATAGGAATTGCATGCTGCACTACTGGTGTGTAACCCCAGGTTGTAACACTTCAGAAAAGCAGTGGCATTAAATGACTGTGGTAACCTGATTTCTTGGTTAACCTTAGCATGTAGTTCTGTATTCTTACACGTGCTCTTCTACCCTGTCATTGTCTATGGGCTGTTTGCAGAAATAAAGGTACTCTGGTGAGGAAGCAGAAACAGTGCTTGAATTAAAGTCTCAGTCTTTTCTCAGACACATTCATGCCAGAGTGTCTCTTTGTTTTCAGAGTTGCAATAGTTTCCAAGTCTTTTGAAGGAAAAACGGATCGAACGGAAGAGTGGTATGGAACACAGTACAAGCAAGAAGCAATTTCTGATGAAGTTATTAAGGCATGTTAAAATTTGTAACATTCTAATATCTGCAGGTGAAAGTCAGTGGTAAATTCTTTGTCCAATTTTCCATGTAGCTGAAGGGGGAACTTAAATCCACTGCTTTTCATAGCATGAAAATCATACAATGAGTCTGTTTAATGTTAAAGGAAGTAACAATGTTATGTTAGTCTTTAGATTTCAAATATTTATTATATAGGAGGGATGTATTTTAATGGTTATAAACCAAGTTAAGTGTAGGAAATGTTACAGTATTTTCTGTAGAAGATCCCTAATATGCAGTGGCTGAGTAAAAATGTAAGCATTAACTTCTAAAACTTCAAACTGTTATCTGTTAATGAACTGATCAGTACTTAAAAAAAGGAATTTTTAAAAACTGTTCTATGCAACTGTTTCTAAAGTTGATTTTTGCAACATAGAAAGCAAGTATGTTTTGTCAGTTAAATGAGACTGTAAAAATCAAAACTCAAAAAAAAAGAGGTGGGCAAATCCTTGTTGAAACTTGTTATTGTTCTGATCTTCTATGGCTGTAAAATTTAATTTACGTTAGGGCTGAATTGGACCTTCTGAGTGTGTTCTTAACAGACATTGCATAGGAACACTTCCTTGAGCTTGACCATACCTATGTTCTTAATTAGAATTCTTGGTTAAATGTTTAGTTTAATATCTTCATTTACAGTTCACAGTAGCAGAAAATATGAGATATAAACCCACCCTCCTCTCTACTATAAACTTTTCAAAATTTTTTATCTGTCATCCTCCTTCTAAGAGCAATTAATCCTGTTGATAGCCTACTCCAACTTTTTTTCCCCCACGTATTTCCCTCTTTCCCTGTTAGCTTAGGTACACAGAAGGTACTGGAATACATTTTAAAATCTTTTGTATTAGCATAAAATAAATAAGCCCATATGTGCTTTAATAAAGCAGAAAATGGCATAGCTTCATTATTTCTCCTGTTGATCTAGAAATGGCAAAATGCTGACCTGAATGGGAAATTCAAGCTTCCAATGAAGAATGAGTTTATTCCTACAAACTTTGAGATTTTGCCATTGGAAAAAGATGCAACACAGTACCCTGCCCTTGTCAAGGTAAACTGTCTGTTCTTGTCCTGTTTACTGACTAATCTTCTGGGAAGTTAGAATTTAATTCCTCTGTTTTATAAAATACAGATAACCTCATATTCCAAAGGATAGAAAACAAAAAAGTACAAAGCTTGAATATTTTGCTACAAAGACAGTAGAAAGTTCATTCTTGCTGAACTTTGGACTGCGACAATTTGTGTTCCTAGGACAGTGAATCTAGATACAGCTTGAACTCTAAGTGCCCTTTTGAAAGTGTGTCAGCAGTTGATAAAAATAGCAGTAGAGCTGTTTATTCAGCAGAAGGGTGACTGCCACTCTTCCATTTTTTTTAACCACTGTTGAGTAAGTCGAGGGTGTGGGGAAGGCTATTGTTTTGTAACTGTGTACAGAAAACGCCTGTGACTGCCTGGAAAAATGTGAGACGTGTCATTTAGTGATCTCAAACTATAGTGAATATATATTCAATGTATTGAATATATCTATATTCACTATATGTATTGAATATAGCAGTTCAAGCAATTTGAATTTAAGGGAATAATTCTAAGTGGCAGTTGGAAGTGGTGAAGAGACTTTTTTAAGCTGTGGCATATATTGCAGTTAAAAGTCAGATGACTTAACAAAACCTCTTTTCTTGACACAGGACACTGCTATGAGCAAACTATGGTTCAAGCAAGATGACAAATTCTTTTTGCCAAAAGCGTGTCTCAACTTTGAATTTTTCAGGTATGCAATGTTAAGTATATCACACAAAGTTGTCTCCAAAAGTTTCTTATTTATTGGGAATCTGCATCTGTGCAGCAAAAACGCTTTCTTGCACTTTGTCCTTACTTTGAATATGTAATAAGGCTTAGATGCAGGAGGGCACATCTAAGTGGTTCAAGCAAGATGACAAATTCTTTTTGCCAAAAGCGTGTCTCAACTTTGAATTTTTCAGGTATGCAATGTTAAGTATATCACACAAAGTTGTCTCCAAAAGTTTCTTATTTATTGGGAATCTGCATTTGTGCAGCAAAAACGCTTTCTTGCACTTTAGAATCTTTGTCCTTACTTTGAATATGTAATAAGGCTTAGATGCAGGAGGGCACATCTAAGTTATGCAGTAATTGAGTAGCAAGAGATTTTGTGCTCCTTCTATACAGAAAGGAAAAGTTTACCTAAAAATACTTTTAAACCAAATTTTCTTTTATATTTTATTTGCTATA